CGAGCCAGAGAAGGGCGCTGGTCTGGCCATGGGACACTGGTCTGGCCATGGGACCAGTAACTATTGTTGTGGAAGAGGAAGCGGTGCTGGTGACGGGTGTGACCGGTGGTGTGACAGTGGCAGGGGTGAGTATCCATTTGAGGGCATCCACGATCTCCTGGAACGGGTCGGGTGCACTCATCTTGCTGAATCCCTTTGTGGTCCGGTCTTCTGTTACGGAAGGAGACTCACACAGAGGATTAGAAAAATACAATATTGTTTATTCTCAGCAAGTGAAGCAGATGGTAGGAAGAGATGCAGATGGTTCGGGCAGGTGAGTATTTGAGCTTAATATCAGTCTTTAAGGAAGATGAGGAGAGTAACACCGTATTTGGTCCTCACAGGAGATCGTGGAAGGGAGACAGAGGACTGCACACACCTCAGCTGAAGAGTACACAGAGTTTCCACGGAGCTGATGACTGGAACGGACTAGGAAATGGAACACAGGAGAACACACTGGAGGAAACACAGGAGGTAAGTATAACAGGCAGGTAAGTCTTTCAATGTATCTCACGGATAGCATAGAGAGAGAGTCCACTTGAGCATATATGTCATATTCAATTTGGCATTTTAAAAAAGCTTTAAAAATGCTAAATTATTTAGATAAAAATAGGACAAATAATTACATAATAATGTGGGCGCAGGGGGTGTTGGGGATCGTGAATGGGTGTCCCTTATTTTGCCTTGCTGACGGTGGCAACCCTAGCTACGACGGCAATCAGAAGAAAAGACTCCAATAGACCTCCGATGCAGACGACATGACCACAAACTTGAAAATAAAATACAAAAGATGTTCTTAAAGGGGTCATATGATGCGATTCCAAGTTTTCCTTTCTCTTTGGAGTGTTACAAGCTGTTCATGAATAGATAAGATCCCTAAAGTTGCAAAGACTAAAGTCTCAAACCCAAAGAGATATTATTCATAAAAGTTAAGATTCGTCCACGCCCTCCTAAAACGCTTCATTTAAACACGCCCCCACATGTCTACGTCAATGCACGGATAAAAGTGCACAAAGCATGTCATTACTCTAAAGAAGTTTTTATACTTGATCTGACTCAAAACATTTAATGTTTTGTCTAGGCATTTGTGTAACGTAAAAAAGTTTGGTGGATTCAAATTAAAACTAAGTATTGTTAGTGTAATGCAAATGCATTTCTTAAAATCGAATTATAAATATTGCGTTCCCCGTAGTCACGTGACTACTGACATCATCAGTGGTCGAGCGTTGAGATGTGAGATGTTGAGCTTTCCGCCATTTTGTTACACCGCATGGAAGAACACAACCTGATGAACTGGAATCAATAAAATGGGTAAGTAATTCTAAAAAAATACATTTGAGTGTATTATTAACGTCATATACGCATGTTTGCATAAAAAATATTAAGATTTACTGTTGTTTTACATAGATGTGAGTAGTGCTGGGCGGTATAACCAAAAATTTATATCACGGGATTTTTCAAAATTGTACCGGTTTCACGGTACATGACAGTATTTTTTTTTTCATGCATGACCGGGTGTTAACCATATTTTCTACTGATTGAGAGAGGAAATACTGCAGTATATTGACTTAGAATGCCATATTTTACAGTCATGATGAGTGAATGTTGTCCAAAAATACCACACTGAATAGTGAATACCCTTACCAAAAAGTAGTATACTTCAAGTTTATTTTAGTAAGTATACTTAAGTAAAGTTCAAGTATATTTTTAAGTATACTTTATGTAGTAAGTATACAAATATCAGTGTACTAGTAGTATACTTGTAAGTGTACTATTTCAATACTCCTTGGGACTAAATTGGCCCACTTTCTAATATATAAAAGTATACTTTTAAGTATAACAGTAGTAAACTTTAAGTACACAACTAGTTTACAACACAGACCTCGCGTTCGCGGGACAGCACTGGCGAAATCTTCCAGCTGAACGATAGCTAAGGTTTATCCAAAAAAGTCGCTAGGTTTGTCAGTGTGAATATTCTATGGAAAAAAGCCACTAAAAGGGTCTGGAAGTTGCTAAATCTAGGGCTAAAGTCGTGCTTGTGTGTGTGTGAGACGCGGGAGCTGATGGCAGGGGGCGGTGGATATTTGTGGTGGTCAATGTGGATATTGTGGATGAGTAAATAGTCTTTAATTATAACTCCAAAACAAAGGACAGGGGAATTCATAGGCATCAACACACGTATTCCATTAAATTAACATCAATCCGAGACAAAGAAACTCAGGAGAACACAGGGCTTAAATGGAGAGGAGACAAAAGGGATAATGAAACATAACAGGTGAACAGAATGAACGATGATTAACTAATAATGATAACAGTAACTAAACCAAATAAGGGCAAACAGGAACTAAACGGGAACATACATGTGACACTCGATTGATGAACCTACCCTTTCTGTCCCAATCACAGAAAATACAGAAGACTTGTCCAAAGCTATAGAGCATAAATTAGCCTCAGTCCTATTAAAGTTAGAGCATGTTTTTCTTGTACCTGGTGTGGCCATTGATTACCTTATGCAGGAGTTGCAGTATTTAATTAGACTTATAATTAAATAATTATTTAATTATTACAGTTTCTGTTCCAGTTGTTAATGAAACTGTTCATCTGTTCATCAGTTGCTGCAGCAACATAATTTGCAAGTTGATCAAGTTGTTGTAGAGGAGTTAGCCTCCTTTCTTTGCCAGTCACATCCAATTCAAACAGCAATCGGAGAGCAAGGTCCCCTTTCCACATTTCAATATGTTCCAATTCTAAAATCTCTGTAGCAAATTCTAAGTTGCCAGCCAATACTTGATAATACCCTTCATTTAAAATCAGTGTATAGAGGTGAAGAATGTAAATATACGTGCATTTTTGATTCACTCAACTTCTAAAGAAATTAACTGCTTTCTGAACCTGCTATCTGTTTAATACTGTATGTTGATGAATTTGAGATATGTAACCCCCTTGGCACATCGAAGAAAAAGCACAACATTTTTACAATTTATTGGATATTGGGTAATTTACATGAAGGATGTCAGTCCTCCCTGTCTGCTATACATTTAGCTGCTTTAATTAATAGCAGTGATGTTAAGTGTTTTGGATATGACAGAGCGCTGGAACCATTGATTGATGACCTTGTCACATTGGAGAAACATGGACTTTTCATTGAAAAACTGGGAAAGACGGTGAAGGGCACATTTCAATACAATGTTGCTGACAATCTTGGTGCTCATAGTATTGCAGGATTTGTGGAAAATTTATCTGGAAAATATATCTGCAGATTTTGTACAGCAGAGAAAGAAGAATATCAGACTAAAGAATTCTGATCTGAAACATTCTGCCTGAGAACTGAAGAACTACATTCCACACATCTTCAATTTATCAAAGACAATGACTTGCCTCACCATTTTGTTGTGAAAGGTGTCTGCATTTTCACAGAAGTTATCACACTTCAATAGTTGCACTGGATCCCGCCTGATATTGTACACGATCTCTTTGAGGGCATTGTTCCCCTTGAGATGGCTTTGTCATTGACTGTCTTTTTATCTAAAAAATACTTAACCTTGGAACACCTTAATAAAGCAATTCAGAACTTTCCATTCAAATGGAATGACAAAACAAATCGCCCCCATACTGTTCCTCTCACATTTTCTGCAAAAAGAACAATAGGGGGTAATACCCATGAAAATTGGAGCCTGTTGAGGTTTTTTTCTTTCTTGATTGGAGACAGAGTGCCTGCCAATGAACCTGCATGGCAACTTCTAAATGATTTAAAAGATATTGTAGACCTTGTTGTTGCTCCTTCACACACCAAAGATTCTATAGCTTATCTGGCCTTCAAGATATCCAAGCATAGGATCAGATTCCAAGAGGTTTTCCCTGACACTAAACTTTTGCCCAAACACCACTACTTAGAGCATTATCCTGAGCTAAATGAGAAATTTGGCCCTCTGGTTGCTCTGTGGACAATGTGGTTTGAGGCTAAACATAGCTTCTTTAAAAGAGTTGTGCGTCATACAAACTGCTTCAAGAATGTGCTCCTATCGTTGTCAAAAAGACATCAGTTTCATATGGCGTATCATCTGTATCAGTACAGCTTACACCAAGATTGGAAGTATCTCATGTTTCTAATCTTCCCATTGATGTTCCGAGTGAAGACATATCACAGAGAAAGTATGGTCATTACACATGGCGAGTGTTCAGGACTTCCAGAGTTTGGCGAAATGTTACAAATGATTGTACTGCAGGACAAACCACTGCTTATTGTTAGAAGACTTGACGCATGATATACTGAACATTATAGAGCCTATGTCTTGGTCCAGTCATTTAACAAGAAAATTGAACTTTTAGAGCACCATGATCTTAGAGACCCATATCCACTGGTTCAGTACACAATTGGGGGGAGACGCATTGTGGTAGAGATACCTACATGTGTAAGGTTAGATTTGATTACATATTCTAAAAAGTGCACAACATGATGTAGTAAAAATATGTTGAACATGTAAATGTCTAACAATTATCTATTACTTGTACTATATCTAATCTTAATTATTTTCTTTTTTTTCAGAATCTGTTCAGCATGGCAGGGGAAATATCTGCTAAGCTTTTGGTTATTTTGAGTCAAGATGATTCAAGAAAGTTGCTTCTGCCAAATGGGATTCCAGAATCAGTGGATGAGCTCATTGAAAATGTGAGGGAAGCTTGTGGATTAAAGGGGACATTCAGACTACAGTATCAGGACAAAGACTTTGGTGATGTATTTGTAAATTTGACAAACACTGGAGAACTTCAGAATCTTGGCACTATAAAGATAATCCATTTGCCAGACGAAGTCTCGTTCACTGTTCAAACAAGTGATCCGCCCCCGTCTAATGATGATACTCTGTCCTTTGGCTCTTATTTCTTATGACACTGAACTCCAACTAGAGAGAGGAAATGCACTTTTTAAGGCTAATGGCACAAGGCTGACTGTCACTCCAAAAATGAAGTCTGACATTCTGGAGAAGATATGTGATGAGATCTACAAGTATAAATCTTATCCCAGCAGTGCAAACTTTTGTGAAGTTTCAGAGGCACTTGTCAAGAAACACCCTTGCTTGGCAGAAAAAGGATCTTTCAATGGTTGCTACGGGTGGACACAGAGACTTAAAATGAAGATAGTAAACCTACACACACAGATGAAAGGCCTTGGATGCCCAGAGTATTCGGTTAATTCTCTGCAAACCAAAGCTTCAGATCATGCTTTTCCAGCCAATAATGTTGAACGGCCTAAACGTGGAGAGGCCAATCATGTGACATCCCTTCCTGCTGGAGAGACATCAGAGAACCTTGAAACTGAGCGCCTGGAACTTTTAAAGAAAGTGAAAAAAAAGAAACAATGCATGGACAATCAGAGAAAAAAAATGGCAAAGACATTTGCCTTACGTAGACAAGAAGTTGTGGAAAAGCAACCTAGTGTTCAGGAACTGCAAGAACGATGGCCAGCTCTGTTTCCACAAGAGGAGGTAAAAGCTGTTATTTCATTGTAAAATGTAAAAGTTTTAGTCATTAAACATGAAGTTATCATAGTTTACTAATTATACCTTTTGATGTTCAATGCTCTGTGTATTTTTAAAACTAGTTTTCTAAAAGTAATATCAGCTTCTGATATTAGTCTATTAGTCTATCAAGTATATTGTCTGTTTCTCTTTCTTACAGATAAATGCAAACCTTTTGCGCATCACGACTTTACCTTTGCAATCGAGATTTTTGGCCTCTTTGGACAGACAGAGCTCTCAGCTTCTCCAGGTTATTAGGAGCAAAGGTGGAGCCGTCCGTGAAAAAACTAAGGACACTATTAAAGTGATGGATCAGGTATTAGTTGCATGTGAATAGAATTGTTAGTGGTAATCAAATCAGTAGTGTTTTGGTCCATTAAAAACCTTGACACATTTTGTAGAGTCTGGACATAGACATCAGACGAGAGTGCCTGCTGAAGTGCCTCAACATATACATTGGTGAAGATGCATGCTGTCTGATCAAAGAAAACCAGGTAATGTTGACATATGACAAACCACTGAATTTATTCCAACCATGTTTGCCTTAAACTTTTGACTGGTGTTTCTGGCAGTGGCGGCTTGAGGGAGGAAGCGGAGAGAGAGTTTGAAAAGACCACCATGGCGGTTTCTGTGATACGTGAAAGTGATGCTCTCAGTCATCCACTGGACATTGCCATTGTCGTTGACGGTGTGGAGGTACTAAATGAGTTGTCCTCTGTTGCATGTGCCTGTAGCATGATGTTTGGACTCATTTATGCACTGAACTTAAAATATCCTTTAGGACTTAAATATACCTTTGAGGCCTTTCAAAAAATTATCATGGACATAGAGTAAGCAGATGAGCCCGAAGGGTGCAGAACCTCTCTTCAAAGTGTGGTGGCTTCTGCCGTTGTTGTGAAGAATCTTTCTCAGAGTCTTGGAGTTTTGATGCCAGAAGAGATTTTATTTCTGAGACAATAAAACCTGAGAGAACTCTGCAGAGCAATCTCTCGAATCTTTTTCTGTACCCTCTTATATACAGTTTTTTCTCTGGGCATGTTACATACATTTCATTCATATGGGATCACGATGCAGTCATGAGACCTTAATTTTATGTTCTGTGAAAATAAGGGCCCCATTATGTGCCATCATGTGCTTATCATGTACTTCACCATATGTCTGCACATTCCATTCTCATACAGATTTCTATACATGCAGGCAAATACACATGATTATAATAGTGGAATAACTTAATACATAAATGGCTATCTTCACATTGATTGTACTTGAATCATTTATATTTTGATTAATTAAACTCTTCTTCAAAAGCTGCAGGAGTGAACTCGTTTCCTTTGACCCAGCTACAATTTTCTGCTGATGGTGAACGTATTTACATTGTTTTGTTTTTTAAATTGACCAATTTGATAGATGTTTTATTTTCAATGTGTTTGGTTGTGTAATACCACTTTGAAATTTTCAACCAAATGTTGTTGTTGTTTTTTTCAAAATCAGCGGAAATGTTATTGGCCTTAAGATGTTTAAATGTATAAAGCCTTTTTATATATCAGTTTTCAAAGTTAACTGTTCATTCAATTTCTCTTGTTTTGGTAAATAATATTCAACTGGACACTAAACCTAATTTGTGGTTTATCATAGGTATGCTTAATAGTTCACCCAAAACCCTCAAGCAAGTATTTGACTTTATTTAACGTAGGTTTAGAGACACGTTATGAAAATGACAACAGAAGTTTCATTTTTGGGTGAACTATTCCATGAAGGTGGAAAGCCATTTTCATTGTTTTAATTATTTCACCATTTGGGTAATTTGACAGATGATTTATTAACCCACTATGGCACGACTTTTTATTGTTGGGGGAAAAAAATATTTCACCTCATTTTTTGGGAGCTTGGGGATCCCTGATAATATAGCCATCATAAAAGTTGTCGCCCCCCCACCCCAGATCCAGATGTTGGTTTGTTGCCTCAGGGCAACAATGTGCCATAAGGGTACAAAAACACCAAGGTTTTCTATATATGTGTATTAAAGAAAACAAGTAATATATGCATTAGAAAAAGCTATTATTTTGATAAGCATCAATCACAAATAATTCTAAACATTCAAAAACATCAAACAATCAAATAAACAAACTATTACTAATTACAACACTTCATGTATAAATGTTCCTCATATTACAGATATTACCATATACTGTAAACCAACATCCAAATAACTGTGTGTCCGTGTGTCTGTGTGTGTGTGTGTGTGTGTGTGTGTGTATGTGTGTGTCACTGTGGATGTGTCACTGCTTGTGTGTCACTGTGTGTGTGTGCCACTGTTATACTGTAAACATCCAAATAACTGTGTGTCCGTGTGTCTGTGTGTGTGTGTGTGTGTGTGTGTATGTGTGTGTCACTGTGGATGTGTCACTGCTTGTGTGTCACTGTGTGTGTGTGCCACTGTGTGTGTGTCATTGTGTGTGTGTGTGTGTGCCACTTTGTGTGTGTCACTGTGTGTGTGTGTGTGTGTGTCACTGCGTGTGTGTAACTGTGTGTGTGCCACTGTGTGTGCCACTGCGTGTGTGCCACTGCGTGTGTGCATCACTGTGTGTGTGCCACTGTGTGTGTCACTGCGTGTGTGTGTGCCACTGTGTGTGTGTGTGTGTGTGTCTCTGCGTGTCTCTGTGTGTGTGTGTGTGTGTGTGTGTGTGTGAAGATAAAGTTTGCCACAAAACACTACTCATTCAGTCAGTTTACCAGCTGATAGGCTTGATTCTCTGTGGCATAATAATAATAATAATAATAATAATAATAATAATAATAAAATAATAATAATAATAATAAATTACACACATAATGCACATTCTTTGAGTTTTCAGAGCTCGTAAACATAAAATTCATAGGAGGACTTGAATGCACCATATGGTTCTAATATGCTTCCACACTTTAGCATGATAGGCCTATTACCTGAACAAAAGTGCTCTAACTGCACAATGTTGCCCTGAGGCAACAAACAAAAAAACACAGTTTTAGTATAAATAAAAACAAAATAAGTATTTTAATAATCAAACATACTTATGTACATGTTGATGCACATGCATATATTTTTTTATATAAAGATATTTCATTTTAAACATGTTAAACTATGCTATTTTTTGCTATGCTGTGCTATTTATCTTACAAATTTGTGGCACTGTGTACCATGCAGCTTTTCTTCCTAAAATGACTGCTCCATCCCCAAACAAAAGGCTACACCCACTTCAGCCCATCATTTTATTGAACAGACATGTCAGTTGATATTATATGTATACATTTTTTTATTTAAAAAATTAAGGGGGGGGTGTAAGGTCCAAAAAAGTGGTTTGTTGCCTGAGGGCAACATTATGCCATAGAGGGTTAAAGGTATTTAGTTATATAATGCCACTTTTAAAGCGTTTTTTGACCCAAACCTGTTTTAACTGCAGCCTAATTGTAAAGGCTTGGTTGTGTAATTTATAATTGACTGTTCATGGAAGTCTATTTTTCTTCTGAACCTCAATTGTGTTCCATCTAAGGTATGCCAATGGAAAGCTTTTTACATTGTTATACAATGTGTATTTGTTAAGGATGCTTTGTCTGATGTTATACACATTGTAAAAATGTTGTGACAAAATAAATTGTCAAAAGTTTGACACTTGAAATCATTCATCTCACACAGATGATAAAAATCAATCATTCAAAACACATTCTGAAAGTAAACAAATTTCTTGATATTACATGATATTTTAAATTGTGTTTGTTTGGATATTTGGTTTAAAAAGAAGTAAAAAAAATAAGTTCATACAAAGAGAAAACATTGAGACAAATTATAATTTAAGACTTCATTAAACTTAAAAATTTTTTTTGGTCCAAAGACACTTTTTGCTTTGGATATGTAATGGATAATTAATTACTTTCAAAGTAAACTTTTTAGGTTGATATAAATTAAAGTAATTAGATGTAACAAGTTGCCGTATTTTTTTTACTATGATCCAATGAAACATTTTTTTCAGTGTGTGTGGGAAGATTTGCATAACACCGCCCAAATGTTCACGCAAAGAAAGAAGGCGTAACTTTGATTCTTGCTGTAGTATTGTTACCGCCGCCGCCATGTCGTGGAGACGCACGCTGTGTGTTTCGTTGTGAAAGCGAAACTACTTTGTTTGGCCTTCCAAAAGAGGACGTATGTGGAAAATAATGTGTTTTTTGAACCTTAAACCGCATAAACACATTTCATTACACCAAATACACAAAATAATGTTCTTTTTTAGCAACGTCATATGACCCCTTTAACAGTGGTGTTTCCTAACTCAGTTTTCCTCAGTAGGTTCATGCTAGCTCGCTGTTTTATGTTAACGTTCGTCTGTCACTGAATTTAGGGACTGTCCCCAGATAGCAAAATTTGTCTGGCCCACCTCTGGCTCGGTCCCCGGCCCAAAACTGGCCCAACACTGAAAACAGACACAAAAAATTTCCTCTGGCCCAGATGCGGCCCACGCCCTGTAAAATGACTTATTTATTGACATGGCCCAAATCTGCCCCGCATAATGTAGAGTGAATTATATTATTTTATATGGCCCAGGTCTGGCCCAGATTCAGACTATAGCCAGATCTGGCTGACACTCGGCTTGGTCCCCGGGCCAAATGTGGCCCAGAAACTGCTAAATATATAGTTCAGTCATGAAACTCTAGATGGCGCAGGCGACGGGTTGTTAACGTAACCGATGCTATTCAGAGAGTTAAACGACTTGGCACAAGCTGATTGGTTCATGCTGCATATGCAGCCAATGAGCTTACTGCCTTGCATTTAAATGGCTGGCTAGCATTCACTCGAGATTCCTGCAGCGCACTTTCAGAGTTCTCTGAAACTCAACAGCTAGATAAGTAAATGAGTTTCACTCTGAATTCAGTACTTTATTGCATTCGACAGATGTTCATTTTTAAACTAGAAAACATACAAATTTTAAAACTACGCGCAGGTTATTCGCATGAGGAGTAATTACTAAGCATGCCTTGTTCATATAACAGCAGTGGCATTAGCAGCAGCATCATACATGCTCATGCATGTACTCGTGCCAGATTGCAATTCACTTAGTCAGAAGAGGGAGCGCTCATTCTTAAAGGGGCCACATCTCTATTGCACTCGTTACCTTGGTTCAGCAATAGTGAAGAGTTTATTATAAAAGTCATGTTTAGTGATAGTTTAAAGATAACTAATCATGAATTTGTTTAAAATATAAAGAAACTACTAATAATTAAAGCTGCAAGCAGCGATGAAAGGGCCCTTGCTCACCACCACCCGGTGGCTTTAGGAAAACAGCAAACAGTGGGCAATATGCATTAAATATGCCTAGGAAGAATATGTCAAAGTCATTTATATGTGCCAAACTTCCTGCTGCCAGCTGGTGGCGCTATGATTATAACTGGATGTTGACATGTAGATGTCTTCAGGCCAGGACTTTTATCAAACATGTGAAGTCTGGTGCAGATTGAACATGGTATGTTTGAGTTAGTGTAAAGCATGGCATATCTTTTTACCAACAGTTGGCGCTATAATCATTACTGAACATTGATGTGTAGATGTCCTCAGGCCAGTATTCTTACTAAACATGTGATGTTTGGTGCAGATTGGACATTGCATGTTTAAGTCAGCGTAAAAAAAGTCATTTCCTGTTGCCAGCAGGTGGCGCTATTATTATAACTGAATATTGGCCTTAAGATGTGTTCTGGCCAGGACTCTTATCAAATGTGAAGTTTGGGGCAGATCGGACATTGCATGTTTAAGTTAGTGTAAAACAAGT